TGTTTTCTATGAGGCTGACTGTACTCTCAAGTCTTAGTTAAACTTTTTTTTCCCTAGTAGAGTCATTTGGATAGTGGTTTATGTTGGTGTCAACTTTGGAAATTCTCATTAATTCATTGTTTATGATATTTTAAAATAGGGGTCATATATACATATATAAACATTTTAAAAATTATATAAAGAAATCAAATTATATTTTCTCTTATTTAGATAAGCTGAACTAAGAATAATCTTTAGAAAGAACAAAGATCTGGACTTCTTTTTGTGACTTCTCACGTGCTAGGGGACAGGGTTAGCTCCGTATTTATTTCCTTATGTTCTTACCATCCAGACTCAGCCTCATAAGATTATCATAAGAATTTTAAATGATATTTTAAACTTAGCTTCTCTTTTTATTAGAACTTATATTTTTACCATTCAGACTTGGTCTCATAAGATTATAAGGATTTTAAGTGAGATATTTGAAAAATAGTTTTATCTTTATACTAGAAAGTAACCATTTTCTAATGAAGTTATTAGATTTTAAAAATTACTGAAATCTCATACATTGCCGATGGGAATGCAAAGTGTACAGCCACTCTGGAAAGCAGTTTGGCAGTCTCTTACAAAGGTAAGCACACACCTACCGTATGACACAGCAGTCAAACTCCCAGGTATTTATCCTGGGATATGAACGCTTATGTTCACACAGAAACATAAATGTGATTTCCATATCAGGTTTATTCGTAATTGCCAAGAACTGGAAACCAACCCAAGTACTCAAAAGGTAAATGGATACACCAGTTGTGACACATTCGTGCTATGGACTGCTACTAGCAAAAAAAAGAGGGGGAGGGGGAATAAACTGATATACTCAACAACTTGGATGGTATGTAAGGGCTTTGTGCCTAGTGAAAAAGCCAATCTCAGAATGAGTCCCTTTATGTAACATTTTCACAGTGACAAAACCATAGTGATTGAGAATCAGTGGTTGCCGGGGGTAGGATTGGTGGGGAGAGCGTGGCTATAAAAGGGTAGATGAGAGAGATCTTTGTGTGAATGGAACAGTCTGCATTATACTTGTGATGGTTACACAAATCTGTGCATGTGATAAAATTTCATAGAAACAGTGAACACGCACCCCCAAATGCACGATACAAAACTGGTAAAGTTCTGCAGTTTAGTTAACAGTGTCCTGGTTTTGCTAATGTACTGTGGTTATGAAGTTATCATTGGGGGAAGCATACATGAGAACTCTCTGTATAATTTTTACAACCTCTCGTGAGTCTTAAACAATTTCAGAATAAAAAGCTTAAAAATAAAGCAAGGGAATTGAAGGATGATGGAAATAGCTGTGGCCACAGGTCCCTGTGTTCAGGTACTGAGGTTTACTGTCTTGCAGAGACTGATGGGGGAGTCAACACTGGCTTTGGGGCTTCGTGTTTACTAGTCATGAGTGAGGCATAAATAGCTGACTGGCTCCGGTAGTGCAGGGTGGGTGGACTTCCAGTTAAGTGTGGCAGATTTACCTCATGTGTTTTTCATCTCTCTCTTCTGAGAATACGTTAAAATGATGGGGAAAAAGCTTTTAATCCTTTTCCCATTTGGAAAGAAAAGTGCAGCTCGCTGACAAACATCACGCAGTAGGAATGCTGCGTTTTCTAGGATTTGACATTTTCAGCAGTCAAGAATTACTATATTTTGTAAATGGAAATACCACTACTAAAAACAGAATGCTATAAATAGAATGATGTCCTTTGTTTCCAAAGACTATCGATATTCTAGAGTGATGCGAAAATAATGATAAAAGCAAGATATTTCGAGGCAAACTTTGGGCATAAAGACTGTAATCCACGAGTTATCTCGGGGTGAACGCAGCCTCAAACAGGAAATGGGTCTTAAAAAAACCTGTAAATCCATAGCTTAGAGACCTGAAAAAGGAAACATCAATTGACAAAACACCTAAAGAAATTTGGGGTGATAGGAAATGGACAGAAGAATAATGACTGCCTTACGGGAACCTAAAGGACCTACAGAAAAGAGTACTGATGGGAACTCAGCCATTCACCCCAAAGTCTGAGGAGCAGGCCCCACAGACGGTGGGGACAGAGGGGTCACACAGGTCTATAATCGGAGTTCTACAAGGTGGTTAAACTGCCAGGTTCCCTTTCCTACCCCACCCACCACCACCACCAGCAGTGCTGTCTGTCTGGCAGACTGGAGATTTAATCTCAGTATATTGAATCAGAGGAGCTCTCAACTTGGAGACATCAGCCAAGGATGGAGCTTAGAGCTGAAAACAGGGCAATTCAGTAAAAATCAGTTCAGTAAACTGGGATTCCCAACCCCCTTCCTGACTGGGAAAGCTGACCACCTGGTGATTGCCCACTCCCCCACCCACCAATAGGGAATTAGAAACATCTCTGGAATGACTCACTGGCCCCTGCTTACTGTTGCATGGCCAGTTTGTCTACAGCTGACCTGCCGTCCAGTCACGCCGCATGAAGCTACTGCCTTGTATACGTAGCCACAAGCTTCTGGCCAGCACTTTAGGACTTTACTCCTAAACACAGAGTGATGATCAGGAATCACCAGACATTTGAGGAAAACCTCCAAAACAAAACATAGATGGTTACCAAACAATGAGAAGAAATAATCAGGAGATAACTGGAAGAAAATACCCCAAAACTACAATTATTTAGATAGGAGACAATATTGCATCCATAAAACAAGAACAGGATGCTTTCAAAAAGGAATGATTAAAAAATCTGACAGCCCAAATTAAAAATAGAAGTTTTTAAAACATACAAGAGCTGGAATGTAAAGTTGAGGATATCTGTCAGAGATATAGAACAAAAAGTGGAAAATCAGGGAAAAAAGGTAAAATGATTAGAGAATAACTCCAGGATGTGTGAAATCCTCATCAGAGTTCCACAAAGAATGAAGAGACAGGAACATTTTTCATACCCGGACATAATTTTCTATATCAATTAGATATAGGGTGTTTTGAGTGCTCAGTAAAATAAATAAAAAATGTACTCACATTGAGACAGACTGTTACATAGTTTCAGAGCACTGCAATAAAGAGAAGCCTTCCAGAAGTAAGCCCCCCCCCCCCAAAAAAAAAGTCATATACAAAGGAAGAAGTGATGATGGCCAACTTCTCGATAGCAAACTGGACATTCAAAATTCTAAAGAAAAATGACTTTTGATCTATAATAAATACTCTAGCCAGCAAAATATCAATCAAATTTCAAGGTAAAGATCATTTCAGAGGCATGGGTGCTCACAGTTACTTCTCACATATCAATTCTTAGGTTATTCTTGGAGAATGATCTCCGGCAAATCAGAATAAATGAAGAAAGAGGAAGATGTGGAATCCACTTAATGAGAGCTCTGACACAGGGGACCAGAAAGGGACATGCAAGGGCCACAGCTTAGCAGGGACAGTCAGGCCAGACTGAGCAAGAGGACAGAGAGTCCTTGGAGGAAGTTCTGGGGAAAAAATAGAATGGAAGATTAGCTGGCAACTTTGTGCAGTTGAAAAATAATATTGATAGGCTTCTGCTAGATACAGCGGAGCACATGGAAAAATTCAGATAAGCATGTAGAAAACTAAGCATGGGAGTGGGGAGATGAAATTATTGCTAATCCTGGGAGAAACAAAAAAGCTGTGCCAAGAAAGGAAACATAATCCTTAGAATGTTTCTTGCGTTATAGTGACCAATATTTGCAAAATAATAAATCCTGACTATGGACTTACCAGGAAATTGCCATTCAGCTGCATAGGAAGGATTGGGGAAGGGGAAGGTAGGGTGGTGTGGAGAGCCAAGTCCTCACCTACTGTAGCAGAAGGCCTGTAGTTATTGTCCCAAATTGAGAAATTAAGAGTATTCCTCAAAACTGGTAATAAATACAAGAATAACAGCTTGGTTGAGAGAGCTCTTGGGAGTGAAGCCAGGCGTGGGGAAAGGCTGTGAGGAAGGGGTGCTTTTTCACAATAAGCCTTAATTGCTGCTCGATAAAATAAAAGTTGTTTTCTTTCTCTACTAATTCATAATGGAGAAGCTTTTTATCCTGAATAGCATGTGTGTCAAGCATCTGCCCCTTTGAATGTTGTGTAATTTTTCATGTTTATTACCTGGTCCTCTGCATATGGTACACATTTGGGGAGAGGGGCTGAAGAGACTTGAATGGTCTCTCTGGGGTGGTTAATATTGTCACACTCATTGTTAGTACATGGAACGAATATATTCAGTCACCATATGTTCTGAGCCCAAGTCAGAGGCCCCTCCGCCCCCCAGCAGTGATTTTTTATTTTAAATTTAGACTGACAGTCTAAATAATTGCCTGCCTTATACTTGCCATGGCATTGGTCTCTGTGTCTTTGACTTTCCATGGAGTCCATGAGGGAACCCATGTTTTCCCAGCCACTGCTGTGTGCACAGAACCCGGCATCCGGTAGTTACACCATAAGTACTTAATAAATAAACCAATTACAAGGGAAAAAAATGCCAATGACCATCTAGAAAGAAGGTTTCAGGCTGGCCTATGTCCTAGGGCCATCAGCAACATCCATCTTTCCCTGGTAATTAGACATGGAGATTTTTGTCCAATTGATAGCCAAAACATTGCCCATGTAATTAAATTCTGATCACTAGAATGACAGCCATTAACCTACTTAAACCCAAAAGGTGGCTTCAGCTTCTAGGCCTTTAGCCCCTGCAGGGTGTGCTCTGCAGAGATAGTGTGTCTGCTGTTTGTGCCATTGACAGTAGGTTCTAGGCAGCCCGTGAGCAACCGGAGAACTGCCAGGGTTAGTACACCTTGCCAGTGCCAGCACCCTGTTCCATCAGGAAGGTGATATGTCCTCGTCATTTTCAAATCAACATTCATGACTTTGTAACCATACTGTCAAGTATACATAGGTATCCCAGCCTACATAGTAACAAAATCTAAAGATTACTTGGTCTGCTGTTTGCTTATTTTATCAATTTGTTTTGTTTTGTTTGTCAGAATGTTATGGAACAGTTCAACCCACGGCTACGAAATTTAATAAACCTGGGAAAAAATTATGAAAAAGCTGTTAATGGTAAGTCCGTTTTCTAAATATATGAACATAGAGCACATAATAAAAGCCATTCAATGAATATTTTACTTAATTATTTTTAAATGCTTAATATTGAATTTTTAAATATCTTTAAATTGGTAGAAATTATTTACAATTAATTTAATTTACAGAACTTTGCAATGATAGGATATTGGTATATTTGAAATGAGTAAATTGAATAATAGGCTACTATGAGAAATGTATTTTAATTATCAAATCATGCCTTTGACATAGTTTAATATTTTATATCATTGCCATAAACATGTTTTCTATTTTTTCAACCAAATTCTTTATGAACTAATAACATATATGAAATGTATGTTTAATTTTTGTGTTAGCGTCTTGCTGCATAGGAATTATTCTATAAGTTACGTAGAAGAATTTCTTGCCTTTGGGTGTATCACTTTCAATAGTAATATGAGAAATAAAACTTTGAGCCTGAGTGGAAAAACATCTATACGAAAGGTTGAACTTAGATTCTCATTTCAAAATGAGCGCTTCCTCTAAAATGAATGTGAGCATTGGCTTTTATCTCTCTGTGAGAACCAGAGTTGTTTGCTAGTTTGTAGAGGTTTTATTCAGAGAGGCTGACATGCACCTCCACGTACGTTTTACTCCTAAAAGGTGAGTGTTGTCAACAATCACCTTAAAAACTTGAGATGCTAACAATCACCACATTCTAACATGGTCAAAACAGTTTTCCCTTGTTAGCAGTCGTCACCTTTAAAATATTCAGACCCTGGTTTCACCCTCTGCCCTGGTTCATTAAGACCATGAAGCAACATAAGTAGAACATTTAGTTTACAGCAGTTTTACATTTGAAGAAGGCTTCAAATCAAGTGTCATGTCTTTTATATGTCTCTTATTTCTCTCTTTCACCATGCCCCACCTCTGGGTGCTCCCTACTGGTATTTTGAAAATAAACCTGTGGCCTCTCACACTGGAAGAGTAAACTACTGTCTATTTCTGGATTTCTGTGCTGTTTGCCAGACTTTTCAGCGTCAGGAAATGCAACAGGCCTGGGATTTGTTCTCCCTCTCTCTCCAGCAATATCAGGACTTGTGCAGGCATCCCACAGCCCCTTCAAAGAGCAGGACACTTGTTCTGGAAGTCTTGCGCAGCTGACTCTCCCTTGATGACTGCTTAATCACAAAACTGCAGAGCCATTGCTTTAGATGCCCCTGTGAAGGAAGTCGCTGTGACCTGCAGTGATTTTTTTACTTTCTAGCATTTGTTGCTTCTCTGAGGCAGAGTTTTACAAGGTGACCCAGTGAGTAGCCTGCAGCTCAGCCTCTTGCTAAACCGGCTTCTCCCCAGAGGGCTCTTATCATTTAACACCTCCCAGAGACTGTTCCTTACTTTGTAAGGTGTTTCCAGAATTTCTGCAGACCATTTGGTTTTTGCTGAAGCTGTTGAGAAATTTAGATAAATGTATAAAGTCCTTGGTAAGAATTTGTATATAGTTGAGGATGCTAGATTATAACTCAGGATATCAGGCACAGCTAGCGAAATCATGGGGTAAGCAGTGTCACTGGAATTTGAGCAGCGGTGGTGGGGGTGGGGAGACAGGGCAGGCAGGAGGCCCTGTAGGAGCTGAGCCAGCTGATAGTTGTTGGGTTTCAGTAGGCAGATGCTGCATAGGAGTACTTCAGGCAGAAAAGTCAGTATCTAAGCCAAGACCTGGGGTCCATACTGGCATGGGCAAGAAACTGTTGGGGAAATACTAAAATATATTGCAGAATAAGGTCAGATCAGTAGTGCATTTTAGTGCAGCATCAGTTATCTATTGCCATATAACAAACTACCTGTAAACTTGGTGGCTTAGGACAATAATGGTCTATCATTTCTCATGGTCCTGTAAAGGCAGTGCAGTTCTCTGGACTCCTGGGGCTCACTCCTGCAGCTGCAGTCAGCTGCTACCTGGACCGGCCAGGAAGCTGGGCTCCCTCCCTCCTGCGGGCAGAGTAAGCTGTTCTAAGAGTGCCAGCCCCTGTGGGAGTTACATTTGCTGGTACCCCACTGGCCAAAACAAGTCACATGACTAAGCCATCTATCAGTAGGTAGGGGACTACACAAGCTGGGAATTCCAGAAAGTGTGATTTATTTAAGTCCACTACCATAAAAACCTGTCATGAACTCTGTGGAGTGTGGACTTACCCATTGAGCAATGGGAGACTCTTGAAGGGTTTTGAGCAGAACTGTACCTAATAAAATCATATTTTAAGGAAAAATTATCTGGTAGAAGTGGGAAGATTAGATTGATGAAGTAGATTAAATTGATGGTCAGAACTAACATGAGAGTGTCATAAGCATCATGGCAGAGTAAGAAGACTCCATTGTTTCTCCCCTTAAATTTACGAGTCATACAAGTAAAACTCAACAGAGGACCCCTTGTTCAACACAAACGCCTGAAAGATCCACGCGTGGGGAGTGGGCACACTGGAAGGAGTAGGGGAGGCCTAACAGGAGAAAGGACAGGGATGGCATCCCCAGACGCAGTTCCGTGCCCACTGCTGCTCCAGCTGGCGAGGTAGCAGGGGAGGAGCTGCGCTGCAGCTTTTACACTATGCCTGGAGCTTAAGAGGGCACGCAGTTTCCTGCCCTGAAAAGGCATCACCCTCCCCACCTTCCCATCGCAGCAGAACCAAGTGGAGGTGGCTGGGAAGTGGTAAATAACAGCGGGGACCGACGGCCTCAACTGGAGAGGGCATGGGACTGCAAGATGGCAGAGTGCCTCCTTTCTCCCAGATGCCCTGTTAGAGCTCAGTAAAGTCAAAAACACAGCGGAAAAAGGAGGTCACTCTGGGAGTTCACAAAACAGGTTCTCCAACACCCTCCACATTCCCCCACCTTAGTGGTGGCACCCCATAGCCAAGGTGAACTGGTCACTGAGAGGACCCACCATCCCAGAGGGTACGTGGCATTTTCCTTAACTGAAAGAACACCGCTCCACCGCCATCCCAGAGGTGCAAAGAGTGGGCAAGAGAAAACAAAAACTTGCAATACAGCACCATCTGCTGGAAAAACAAAAGAAAGTACCCTACCTATCAGCCTGCTGAATTGTTGAGAGCAAAACTGTATCTAAGCAAGAGAGTGCTACCTCCAATGCGTAGACAGAGAAACAATCCATCCAATACCATGAACTACATGGGAGCATAGAAAGAAAATGAAGTCTCCAGAAACCAAATCAAAATCGTGGAAGACTGATTTTAATAATAGAATTCAAGACTGCAGTTATGAAGAAACTCAAGGATATATAAGAAAACTCAGGCAGTTCACTGAACTCAGGAATAAAGTTGATGAACAAAAGGAGTACTTTACCAGAGATCGAAACTATAAAAAAGAACCAAACAGAAATTCTGAAGCTGAGGAACTCAATAAATGATATAAGAAATGCATTAGAGAGCATTGGAAATGGAGCAGTCCAGATGGAAGAGAGAATTAGTGAACTCAGAAACCTAGAAATGACCTATGAGAAGAACTAAAAGTGTAATAAAATGAAAGAACTCTATGAGAACTGTCTGGCTTCATTATAAAGAGCAACCTAAGGATAATAGGCATTCAGAAGGAGAAGAAAGAGATAATGGAACAGAGAGCCTCCTCAAATAATTGATGAGAATTTCCCAAGCCTATGGAAAGAACTAGACTTTAGAATAGCTAACAGAACACCTAATTATACCAATACAAAAAGACCTTCTCCAGACAAATGTTGTTCAAACTGTCAATAATTAATGACAAGGAAAGAATTCTCAAGGCAGCCAGGGGAAAAGGACTAGAACCTACAAAGTAAACGCCATTAGCTTATGGTCAGATTTCTCAGGAGAAACATTACAAGACAGAGAGTGAAAGTAAATATTCAAAATAATGAAAGAGAGGAACCATTAGCCAAGAATGAAATATCCAACAGAGTTATCCTTTAGATATGAAGAAGTAATGGTTTTCCCAGACAAAAGCTGGGAAAATTTGTCACCATAAGATCTGCATTACAAGAAATGTTTAAAGGAACTCTTCTACTAGAAAGAAAAAAGTACATAAAACTTCGAGTAAGATTATTAATAGAAGGAGGAAACTGCAGATCTTCAGAATAGGTTATTAAACAATTATAACAAAGTTTAAAGGTGAAAGGGGACATTAAAAATAACTACTGCAATTTGGTAATGAATGCACAACATAAATAGGGAAAATTTGTGACAAAATCATGAAAGGACTGAACAGTTACAGATGAATTAAGATAAGCAGTCAGAAGAAAAAGGAGTATTATATGTATGAGATTATTTTACACTAACCCGATGGTACCACAAAACAAATATCCAGAGCTGATACATGAAATATAAAAAAAGAAGAAACAAAAAAAATCATAGGAAACCACCAAACTGAAATAGCGGACAGAATCACAATGGAAAAGGAACAATGGAGATACAGAGCATCCAGAAATCAAAAAATAAAATGGCCATAGCAAGTCTTCATTTATCAGTAATCCCCTTAAATGTAAACTGACTGAATTCACCAACTGTATATTACCTGGAAGAGACCCATCTCAGCTCCAAAGAACACAGGTTCAAAGTCAAGGAGTAGAAAATGATATTGAAGCAAATGGACTCACTAAGGAAAAAAGAGAAAAAAACTCAAAATCAGAAATGAAAGAGGAAATGTTACAATGGACACCACAGAAATACTAAGGATTATACAAGAATGCTATGAAAAGCTATGTATCACCACATTTAATAACCTAGAAGAAATGGTTAAAGTTTTAGAAATATATAACCTTCCTAGGCTGAACCATGAAGAATTAGAAAAACTAAATAGACTGATCACTGGTAAGGAAATTGAAAGAGTAATCAAAAACCTCCTAAAAAAAAGTTCAGGACCAGGTGGCTTCACTGGTGAAGTCTACCAAACATTCCATTGAATATCTATCCTTCTTAATCTCTTCTAAAAACTTAAAGGGGGAATACTTTCTAACTCATTATACAAGGCCAACATTACCCCGATGCCAAAACCAGGCAAGGACAACACACACACACACACATTACAGGCCAATATCTCTGATAAACATAGATGCAAAAATCCTAAACAAAATACTAGCAAGTTGAGTGTAACAATATTTTAAATAGATACTACATCATGATCAAGTGGGGCTCATTCCAGGAATGCAAGGATGGTTCGATGTCCACACATCAGTCAATGTAATACAACACATTAACAAAACAATCACATGATCATATCAACGGATGCAGAAAAACATTTGACAAGATGCAACATCCATTTAAGATTAAAATAATAAAACGGGTATAAAAGGAAAGTACCTCAACATAATAAAAGCCATAAATGACAGACTGTCAGCTAATATCATACTCAGTGGTGAACAAAACTGAAAGCTTTTCCTCTAAGATCAGGAACAAGACAGAGATGCCCACTCTTGTCACTGTCATTCAACATAGCACTAGGATTCCTAGCCAGTATAATCAGTCAAGAGAAAGAAAGAAAAAGGCACCTGAATTGGGCATGAAGAAGTAAAACTGTCATTATTTGCAGATGACATGATTCTGTATTTAGAAAATCTGAAAGACTCTATCAAAAGACCACTAGAAACAATAAACAAATACAAGAAAGTTGCAGGATACACAATATACAAAAATCTGTTGTGTTCCTATATACTAACAACAGAGTATCAGAAAGAGAAATGAAAACAATCCCATTTACAATTGCAACAAAAATGATAAAATACCCAGGAGTAAACTTAAAGAAGGTAAAAGACCTGTACTGAAAATTACAAAACATTGTTAAAAGGAATTGAAGAAGACATGAAAAAATGGAAAGATATTCCATTTTCCTAGATTGGAAGAATTAGCGTTGTTAAAGTGGCCATATTATCTAAAGCAATATACAAATTTAATGTAATCCCCAACAGAAGTCCAGTGGCATTTTTCACAGAAATAGAACAAAAATTACTCAAATTGTATGGAAACTCAAGAGACCCAAACAGCCAAAGCAGTCAAAGCAGTCCCGAGATAAAAGAACAAAGCCAGATGTATCACACTCCCTGACTTCAAACTATACCACAAAGCTACGATAATCAAAACAGTATGATATTGGCAGGAAAACAGACCCAACAAACCAATGGAATAGAAATGAGAGCCCAGAATAAACCCACACCATATATGGGCAACTAATTTTCAACGGAGGAGCCGAAAACATACTATGGGAAAAGGAAAGTCTCTTCAATAAATAGTGTTGGGAACACTGGAAAGCCACATGCAAAAGAATGAAACTAGACTGTTATCTGACACCATACAAAAAAATTAACTAAAAATGGATTAAACACTCAAATATAGGACCTGAAACAATAAAAATACATAGAAGAAAACAGAAGCACTAAGCTTAACAGGATTTGGTCTCAGAGGGTTTTTTGTGAACTTGACTCTAAAGGCAGGAGAAGTTAGAAAAAAAATGAATGAGACCGCATCAGACTAAAACTTCTGCACAGCAAAAGACACCCTCACCAAAACAAAAAGGCAACCAACTGAACGGGAGAAGATATTTGCAAATTATATCTCTGATAAGGGGCTAATATTCAAAATATATAAAGAACTCATAACAACTCATCAACAACAACAAAACCAAACAATTTGATTGAAAAAAATGTTATATAATGTTATAAACCAATTTTAAATCCCCTCCCCCACAAATAAATAAAACAACCTATATGCTTCATCTTTGAAATGATAGTGGTAGGAAATCTCTTAATGTGTTCACAGAGGGGGCCAGAATTATGGAAATATTCTTCTTTATTCTGGATAAATTATATAATTTTAAAGTTAATTCAACTTTATCATAAAAACAAGGATAAGGATATTTTACTAGACTGAGAAGGTTAAATAGTTTTAAACATAAGTCAACAGTTAATGAAAAAATTCAGTTGAATGGGTTGAAACCAAAAATTTTGTTTAAATATTGTGTAATCCTGTATACCATTCTCTCACTAACTGGCTTTTCAGTTTATCAGTACCTTGCAATTTAAAACCTTCATACTAAAATACTTCATATATCAACTCGACAGTTTATTGGCTACAAACTTGTTTGCAGGTGGAGTCATCTCTTTTTCAGTTTTAACTGAGGCCAAAGAATCAGAAAGCAGCATAATTTAGAACTGAGAAAGTGAAGTATCTCAGCTGAAGTTACGTGCAATCCCTCTGACTTGCCGCTGACCTTGGGAATGTCCCAGAATATCTCCACTCCCCTTCGTGAAATGGGGTGATAACGTCACCGACCCATGTCTTAATGTCGTCAGCTAGAATAACTTAAATAATGACTTGGAAAGTCTGTATAAATGCTACTCGCTGTTGTGCTTTTTTACAATTATACTTTAAGGTTATACTCAGTCTTATGAAATAACTGTGGAGTAGAACGTTACATTTTCTAAACTTGCATACATACATAGTAAAAACCCTAACTTTTATCATTTTTAATTCTACAAGAGATGCTAAAATACACTAATTTGTTATGAAAATATTACTTTTTGGCCTGTAGCATCTTCAGCTGGACTTGTATATTAACTTATCCTATGATACTCTCCCACACACACCTTTTTTTTATATGTCAAATGTCTTTTTTAATCCACTTTTTAAAAACAATACCCATTATAAATTGGGGCAAAAAAGTTAGTTATAAAGTGATAGAAGAAATTGATATAAGCAGGTTCTGTTTGTTCATCCAGTGCTCTCACTGTTAGGACATTTTATAGATGACCGTCCTTTGTTTCAGGAAAAAATAACTAACTCGCCCAAGGAGGTCATGTCATTAGAAGTAAAGGTCTATCTTGTCTTGCCCCTGACTCTCCTCTGCTCCTCTCCAAAACAAAAAGAAAGAAAGAAAAAATAAAAACAAATCAAAATGCAGATTTCTGTAACTTATAATTTAGTCTTCAAAATCAGTTCAAAAGGAGAAATATTATTTTTTAAGATAATTGTATAGAAATAAAAGTTTTTCTCATCTCTGTCACAGAGGCAAGGGGCGGGGGAGTAATAGGTTATTGTTATTTTTCAGGTAATTCTGTTTTTTGTTTTTTGTTTTTGGAATGATAATGTATTTCAAATTCATAGATTTTCCCCCTGGCAACAAGTATGTTGTTTGTGTCTCAGAGCGTCTTTTTCAATAGAAGTAAAAATACCATTGAAGGATCAGTTTCCTAGGCCACCCCACCCAAGTCCTTCTAACTGAAAATATGCAGACCTGGGTCTCTGTGAGAATAACCGGCTCAGGAAGGTCTTTGGCTGGAGCAGACATGTTCCCAGCCCCAGTCTGATGTTAGGACCACTTCTGCTCTGAAACTGTCATCAGGGGCAAGCAGGGCCTTCCCTGGACGTCAGCGCCTGCTGCTGATCGATCAGTTCCCCAGGGCTGGTCCCAGGTGAGGGTCCCATGGGGCTCTCCAGTGGGCAGGGGCCTCTGCCCTGGCACAGCTATCCAGCACAAACCCTGCCTTCTGAGAGCCACACTTGCCACAGCCCAAGCTTTCCTGCAGCCAGAGGGACCAACGGATGTTTGGGAAAAAACCTCTGTGTCACGTCTTCCTTTCCTTGTCTAAATATGATTTTATGTGCCGCCTTCCCTGTCTAGCTATGATCCTGGCAGGAAAAGCCTACTACGACGAAGTGGTCAAGATTGGGGAGCTGGCCACCAGATCCCCCGTGTCAACAGAACTGGGTGAGCTGATTGTCCATTGTATGTAAACCCAACTTGAGCTGCGGTTTGGGGGCCTTTCATCCAGTGAGTGCCTATAAAAACACATGAAGTGGCCCAGACCCAGAAGAGAAAGGAGGGCTGGCCCAGCGTTCCGGTTTGTCAAGCCAGCACCCTGGGTCGTTCAGTTCTGGGATGATCGAGTTCAGTGTGGCCTGTTGAAAGTGGAGACTTACAGGCAGGCCAGGGCCCGCCCCGGCCTCCCTACTTCCTAAGAGTCGGGCTTCTGCTTTTGAGGCGTGGGCTCAGCCTTTCCCCTCGGATGCCGAAGCACACAGCCCGGGGAGCTTTGACCTACATTCCTTGCTGAAGGAGACAGGCGTGCTGGGCCTCCCAGCTCTGGCAAGAGTATTTCCTGTGACTCACCTAGCAGGAGGTCAGAGTCCTTTACGTTCTGTTCTTGGCTCTCCCTGCTTCCACAGTTGCTCTCAGTTGCGATTTTTCCAGTTTTGCTGGTATGAATTGGTCTCCTGTGCACACACAGAGGGCAGCCACACCCTCGGCAGTGCCAGCTGCACAGGGAATCTGGGGTTCTATTTACAGAGCCAGTTCCCTGTACCATCTCCTAAGTGGGGAAAGGTCAATTTTTTAAATAGCCCCACACATAACCACCATTTTTAAAACTTGTTAAATATGTTTTATTTTACAAAGGTTAAAATTTCTGGCTTCAAATTGTTTGTTATGATTTGGAAGGGTCAGAAAACCGGAGGAAAGATTGGTAAAGTGTGTACGTGTTTTTTAAAAAGTGGATCTGTCTCCAATTACAAAGTAGGAAGGGAAGCAGAGGAGGGCGTAGGAGCATGTGTTTAAGGCTCACATAATTCACACCATTTCTGCATAAAGTGTCCTGAGGGTGTTCAGCATTGCTTGGAAAATTCTTAACTGACCCCTGAAAGTGGAGGAACGAATTTGAGATGCGACGTCAGTGCTGGGGTTGGAGGCTGGGCCACCAGGTGTGAAATGGGTCTGGGTGCTCGTTAACATTCTCTGACAGATTTCATACATGAAAAGTTTATAAAGATCCCTAAAAGCGATAGACAAAACTTAAGCCTGAGGCGATGCTGTATTATGAACATCAATACTGCTGTTTTTAATAGACTCAGTTACATCTAAAAATTTTTCAAAATCCTGACTTGGGTTCTGCTAGTGCCATAACTTTGGCATGTTCTGGCGAAGACTGAACTAAAGTGACTCTGTCCTACACAAGGTCAGTTTGGTAAAATACACACTGCATTATATAGACAGAAGATGATAATAAAACTTAGGACATGTGAGAGGTGATTGAGATGATTATAGGGTTCCAAAAAATAGGACTAAATGAAAAAGACACATCCTATTTGTGTCAAGCATGAGGGAAAATAATATATGACCCTTACATTAAGCTTATGGTGCTCTGAGTCAGCATCGTTCCTGCTGCTTTAGTGTTTTGTGGTTCTTGCCACTGTTTAAGTAAGACTTCTGTTCCACACCTTGTTTTATTCAGCCGTAAGTTCCTAATGTTGAATCAGCTATTTCCACAGCAACCATGTTGTTTTAAACAGGAACTTAAAACTTCAGTTCCAATAAGGAGAGTATGTTGCAATGGTGACGTTTCTTTCATGCGGATGTGTATTTTACTCAGAAGGGGTGGAAATAATTTTCGTTGTGTTTTTTTGTTTTAGGTTGTTCTTTGCTTATATTCACTATCTCATGTCGTTATTACTTTTCTACTCATTTACAGCAACTCCCTGATAAACTACTGTCCTAGTAAGAGTTGCTATTTGGAGTTAATATTTGGAGGCCTAATATTAATTTATTTTGATTTGCATAGTTTTTTGTTTGTTTGTTAAAGTTTAGACTGAAATACTACCCTCTGTTTAAATTCCCTGTTTAAAAAAATAGTGGACAATTCATCAAATAAAGAGAAAGATCTAAAGTAGATTGTATTTTTCTCATTTTTCAAGATCTTATTGCATAGCTACTGACTCTTGGTATTGGTATTCATAACTGAATTATGAAACTTATAAATTCTGTGATAAAATTGAAGAAGTATTGCATATGTAAGATCACAAATTATTTCAAAATTTTTATTCATTAGGAGTATTGTTTCTGAAAAACCTTTGTTTTTCCCACACACATAAAAAAATCCTATAGTTTAAAATTTTTCATTTTAAAAATATTGCTCTAGAAAGAAGGGGATGCTGAAAAATTCTTATTTTTCTAAAACTTTGATTATAAAAGTAAGTTTTTTCCTCTTTATTTTCTTTTTAACTGTTTAAATTAAGAGTTGACATTCAATATTATTTCATATAGTTTCAGGTCTATGGCCGAATATTTACATAATTTACAAAGCGATTTTCCCAATTAGTCTGGTATCCACTTAGCTATAAAAGTATTTTATATTTTAATGTTGAATTAAAATATTTTTAGGGTTGCTTTAAGACACAGCCTTTTTCATTTCATACATATTTTTACATGAAATTTTTGTTGTATTCTGGTATTTTTGTACTTTAGGAGATAAGTGAAGAAAATATGCTCTGGGTAAAATATTTACTTAATTCGTAGGAATTTATAGAGAGAATTCAGCTTGGGAAAACTTGGCCACATACATCATGAATGTTAATCAGAGTGTCAAAGCGAAGCATTTCAGTCTCTTCTCACTTAAGGGGCAGAGGGAGGCTAACAGCCGGAGGAGCAAATTGATTAGACTTTTACTTTATGTCTGTCTTTTGGATCAGCCTCTAAATTAAGACAGAGCTGCGGCAGTACCCTTTCTGATTTCTAGCTGTGGGTGTTTCCCTTTACATATCCTGCTTTCAAGCATCAGCTCACCCAATGATGTGTGAATGATTTAAGATGTTTTTGGCCCAAAAGTAACAAAATATCCAACTAATAGTGGTTTAAGCAATAAGGGTGTTTATCATCCCACATAAGAAAGCCATCGTTAATTTATCCTATTTTCTATGACAGCATTATTGAGATCATGAATAGTACGATTCACCCATTTAAAGTGTACAGTTCAGTGGTTTTTCGTATATTCGTAAAGTTTTAAATTATCACCACAGTTAACTTTAGAATATTCTCATCACCCAAAGAAGAAATTCCATACCCATTGTCAGTCACTTCCCATTCACCCTCAACTCCAGCCATATGCAGCCATTACTGTATTTTATCTCTGTAGATTTGGTTATGCTGGATATTTCATATAAATGGAATCATCTAATATGTGATCTTTTGTGACTGCTTTCTTTCACTTAGTATTATGACTTGAGGATTCATTCATGCTATAGCAGGTATCAGTACTTTTAAGAAAGTTAAGAAATGACAGATTTTAATTTTCTATAAGTCTTCCAGATACATGTCCTTCCCCCAAAAATAGTCGTTTCCTGATCATTTTCTCTTGAAAATAAAAGATATTTTATGAATAGTCTGTTCTCTTATTTAGAGACTATTCAGAATATGTCATTGCTTCTTTTCAACTATAATTGAAAGTTATAGGAAATTATTAGTAATTAAAGAAAAATACCAGATTCTAGTCATTTTTATGAATGCGCTCAACCACTTGAAGATTACAGTAAGAATTGGCATATATTTTGAAGTCTCTTTTCAAATCGTTTTGCTAAAGCATCACCTTTTATCAGTTGTACCTTAATTGTAGCCAGGGGCTGGCCGGCATCTATTTGTAAATAATATTTTATTGGAACGCAGCCATGCCCATTTGTTCATGTGTTGTCTGTGGCCGCTTTCAGGCCTCGGGGGCAGAGCCGAGCAGCTGCAGCAGAGAAGCTTGGCGTGTAAGGCCTAACCTATCTAAGACCTGGCCCTTCACAGGCCCTTTCCCTGATGGTGGAAGACCTGCAGTGTCTACAGCTTCTTAAAGGTGAAGACTGAGTGATCTCCTGAGGGGTTTGATACCCTTTTCTCCAAAGAAAAAGCAAATCTTTACCACCTGCCCTCTAAGTGCTTGGGTTCGTCCGCATTAACAGTGTGACCCTGACAACCACAGTGGTGTCAGCAGCTCAAAAGCGTAATTACCTTGCCCTGTCGGGAGGAATGAACAAACAAACAGAAAGCCAGAAACCAGAGCTCAGTAGTCAGGATTTGGCAGGTAAAATATCTTAATCTGCTATGTTTAACTGTTAAATAATAAGTCATATGAATAATTATTCATGTGACTCAGGTTGTCAGGGTGTGTGCCTGTAGTCACACATATAAATCTTTATCACATGTACACAGTTCAACTCAAGGAACAGTACTTATTTAAAAAGGGAAGCTCAAATTTATGCAAAACTTCTAGTTTTGTCCCTTAATCAAACAACATTTATTTTTAAAGACTTAGTGAATATTGAAAAGGTTATAGGGGAAAACACATGGTCAGGGGAAAATGTTTTGGCAAAATATTTAAAAGAAACTTCGAACGTGTTTTAACATTTTTAAAGCATAGAAAAATAAAGCCTGTTCCCATTTATTTCCCAAGGAATAACAGGATACTCTCTTTGGAGAGTTTACAAATTTGCTTTGAGGTCCTTACAGCTCTCCATTACATAAATTTAGACTGTTATTTTGTTCCAGGTTAGTCAGCTATCGCATTATTTTTAAAAATTACTGAATTGTTTGGGCCAGTTTCTTGGGCGCAAAACAGAAGATTTTTATGCCCTCACCAGCCAGGAACCTAGAAAATGATAGGTTTTCTTTTGTTATTGATAGAATGTTTTAGGTTATGTCATTTTTAAAAAATATTTATTATGGTTTTGCCTTGTTGATAACTCAAAATTCAACCTGACAGTCTTAGGTCTGAAAAATAAGAGTAGGAAAAAAATCTGAAATGTTTTAAAAGAAATGTTATGAATTCACAAAAATATTACAAATAACATTCCTAAGGTCTAGATAAAATAAATGAATTCATACCAGAGTGCATGAGTGAGCTAAGTGGAGCCAAAGCAGTTGTTATTGACCAAAAACACTTAACTTTTACTTGCAAGTTT